GACATTTGAAGACGTTCTTCGATTCAATGGACAATAAGGAGAATGTAAGAATTTAAAATTGTTATTAGCACTGCATTATCAGTAGATAGCACATTAACTTTAAGTATCTGTCTTTATTTTTTTAAAAGAAGATTTGGATAGATTGTTAGCTAGGGCTATTTATTCAAGTGGTTCACCGCTTTCCATAACCGAAAACAACGAATGGGGCGATTTTTTGAAAAAAATTAGACCTAGCTATAAGCCTCCAACAAGACATATGCTTTCAAATAAATGTGTGGATTGCGAATACGAGTCAGCCAAACTATCCACACAAACGAAAATTGAAAAAGCCAAAACTGTGCTAATACAGTTGGACGCATGGTATAGGCATATCATCCCAATTCGTTTTGAATTTTGTATTTAATCGTATTATGCAATTTTCAAACGCTATTTTCAATTTTTAGAAATGAAGCTATTATTAATGTTATTGTGACAACACCTCAACCAGTCCTCTTCAAAACATTTTCCTCAGAAACAGAAAAAAAAAAAACTGGAGAATACATCGCTACTAAATTGAGGGAATTTTTGAATGAGATAGGTGGAAACAAAGTCTTAGGCATCGTCACTGATCTGGAACTGAAGGCTCTAAAAATAAGTTAAGAAGAAACAGGCATTATCCAGTATGGATGTGTTGCGCACTGCTTACATCTACTAATAGGTGACATTATGAAAAAGAATTTGGAAGAACATTGCAAACAAATTGTTAAGGACATAAGTGGCTCCCATATTTTGTTGGCAACATTTAACAAGCTCCAAATGGAAACAAATTCAAAAGTGATTGCACTAAAACTGCCAGTGGTAACTATCTTGGTCTGTTTGAATAGTTTATACGTCACAAGATCCGTTCTTAAGCGTTTGCGTTTGACTATATCGGAAGATAATGCCTATAAGTTGAGCCCAGCAGTAAAAAAAAACTGCCTAGATGATGAAATTTTTTGGAAGAAAGTAGAAAAATATATTATAGTTTTATCCCCCATTGTGAAATGGATAACCAAATTAGAAGGCGATGACCTAAAACTCTCAGATGTAATTAATGAAATCCTTTTGGGAATTAGAAAAAGTGTTTGAAACTGAGGTTTCGGGATTACCTGTAACTAAAAAAGAAGAAGAAGAAATTTACTCGTTTTTAAAATAACCCAAAAAGTGCATGTAGGTTACATTGCAGCCAATATCCTTAATCCGCGGAAGCAAGGTAAACATCTTAATCATGGTGAACATTCGGAAGGTGAGTTTTTTACACAATAAATCGGCAGATGTTTTATTGTTTTTAATTTTTAGGAATTGACTTCATAAATACATTGGCAGGAAAAAATGGACATGAAGTGGAACTAGCCAAAACCGAAATGTTTGGAAAAGATAATCTATGGAAATGTGTAGACAAAATTGATCCCGTTAGCTGGTGGCAGGGACACTGCCAATGGATACTGCTGTGTGTCAGCGTTGAAAGATGTGGCAACAGCAATTTTATCATTACCCTCCTCATCTGCCGCAACTGAAAGGACTTTTAGCAAATATTCTTTCATTCACACAAAAAAAAAGGAACAGATTAATAACAAAACGGGCTAGTATGCGAACCTATATAGCTTGTAATCTGAAACTTACATCTAAACTAGTAAAACTGACATTGATCATTGATAGCGGAATAAACCTAGAAGTACCAAAACCATGTAATGATCCGGAAAACATTGCAGATGTGGTCGATGTGGAATTGGAAGACACAGAGTCTTCAGATGATGATGAATTAAGTTTACATGATACCAATTCTAGCCTCGGCAAAGAAGATTTTGATGACATATTATTCAACGAAACGTATATGGAAGCTGGTGAAGGCGAAGACATATCTAATATTGAGCCCGAAAACCAGGGAGCAAATTAGCAGCAGTAGTTATTATTTTTTTTTTGTAAGCAAAGGTAGCGTTGTACCGGAAAATAAGTACTATTTTATTTTATTATTAAAAAAAAAAGTTTCTTAATAACAATTGTATGTTGCTTTCACGGAATAAAACCCCAAATTAGAATGATTATTGTTGTCAAACAAACATGACACGAATTATGAGATTAATCATTATATTTTCCTAAGAAGTTTGAGAATTTTCAGCATATTTATGAAGAATTTTCAGAATATGGGAATTTTCGGAAATTTGAGAAAAATCAGAATTTATTTAGAAAAATGTTTTCTTTTATTCAGCTGCTAAGAAGCGTAAATTCTTGAGTCTTGCTCGTCTTTGTTCGATTATTCTCGTTAATTTTCGATCGTGCTCGGAGAACGTTCAAATAAAATACTTGCTCGAGCATTTTACATCACTAGTTACGAAGAAAGATGGAAGTCTTAAATTTTGTGCGGACTATCGAAAGCTCAATGACGTCACCAAGAGGGACAGCTTCCCTCTTCCGAGAATAGACAATACATTAACAACTCTATCGAGCTCCAAATGGTTTTTGCACCTTGGATCTCAAAAGTGGATACTGGCAAGTGGCAATACACAAAGATGACAAAGAGAAAACTGCCTTCAGTACCAGAAACGGGTTATATCAGTTTAACGTAATGCCTTTTGGATTGTGTAAGGCTCCAGCTACATTTAAGCGACTGATGCATCTTGTTTTGCAAGACCTTACATGGAGAACTTGCCTGGTATATTTAGATGATCTCATGATCATGGGAAATTCGTTTCAAGAACATCTCAATAACCTGAAAGAAGTTTTTGACCGCTTCCGGAATGCCAACTTAAAACTCAATCCAAATAAGTGTTTTCTATTTCAAAAGAAAGTGGAATTCTTAGGTCACGTGGTATCTGAAAATGACATACAAGTTATGGAAGGAAAGGAAAGATAAAGTTTGTTTTTTATTTAAAGATAATTCCCCAAGTCAAAAATTTTATAACTATGTTGGCAACACAAGCCTTTTCTACATATAAAATTTGAGAGCATTGACAATTTTACATTGTATTGCCAACATAATGTCATTTTGACTTTTATCTTTAAAAAAAAAAACAGATTTTAGATGCTGTCACGGATTGGCCAAAACCACGCGACAAATGTGAATTGAGGAGTTTTCTAGGATTATGCTCTTATTATCGAAGATTTGTGGAAAGTTTCGCCAATATAGCTGCTCCGCTTCATCGATTAACGGAAAAAAAATCAACATTACATTGGACCCATGGAGCATTATGTACGAGCCCAGTGTCCTATCCTGATCAAAAAGGCATGTTGATTTTAGACACAGATGCAAGCAACACCAGTATTGGAGGTGTCCTTTCAAAAATCCAAAATTCACAAGAGCATGTCGTAGAGTACTACAGCAGAACCTTATCAAAGCCGGAACGAAATTCTTGTGTCACCAGAAGAGAGTCGCTTGCCACAGTAAAAGCAGTCGACCATTTCCATAAGTATCTCTACAACCGTAAGTTTCTAATTCGAACAGATCGCGCGGCTCTAAAATGGCTTTTAGAAATGAAAACTTCCAAAAGACAGCTTGCTAGATGGATTGAGAATTGCAGCAATACAATTTCCAAATTAAACATTGACCTGGAAACCTGCATAAAAATGCTGATGCTCTGTCTAGACGGCCATGCAAAGAAGACTGCAAGCATTGTCAAAGAATCGATATGCATGAGGAAAACATTGATCCGGCTGTGAGAAGAACGGGTCTTATCGTCGATTATAATAGACTACCAAACAAATGAGAGCAGATCAAGAAGCAGACCAGGACAATGATGAATGTAGGGTAGAATGGAGGGAAGTGTCGAACAAGAGCTTGATTTACAAGGCGTTGTGAGCTCAGTGGAGCTCTCTGGTCGTAGAAAATGGTTTATTTGAAAGAGTTTAGGAAAGTACCGATGGGAAATCCACTAAGAGCCAACTGGTTATTTCAAAAGATCGAGTAGAAGATGTATTAAAAGAAATACATGACGGAACTCCAGGGGCACATTTTGGAGTTAACAAGACTTTGGAAAAAATTCTAGAACGTTTTTACTGGGTCCACTATCATGAAGACGTTAAAAACTGGTGCCGAAAATGCGACATCTGTGCTACCAGAAGAGGCCCTAAACTTAGATCTCAGAGGCCCATGAAACAGTAGAAAGTCGGTCTCCCATTTGAAAAAATACCGATAGATGTAGCCGGACCGTTCCCTGAGTCAGAGCGTGGTAACAAATACATCTTGGTTATCATGGATTACTTCAGTAATTGGCCAGAAGTTTTCGCTATTCCCAATCAAGAAGCCACTATTGCCCAGGTGCTAGTGGATGGAATTTTCAGTCGACATGGTGTGCAACTAGAATTGCATTCAGATCAGGGACGAAACTTCGAATCTGCCATCTTTGAAAAAATTTGTGAGATCGAATGAAGACCAACATACGACTTGAAAGCCAATTCAGCCGGATTTCAAGAAGGTGATTTGGTGTGGCTGTATAATCTAACAAGAAAGAAAGAAGTGTCGCCGAAATTGTCTTCAGCTTGGGAAGGACCCTACAGAATAATCGAGAGGATTGAAAGTGTACATCTGGACAGATTGACGAAATATCATGGGCGATGGTGTACAGAATCTAACTTGAAATTTAGAAAATCCTGCCTTATTTGGGTAAAGAGAATATCGCATTTATTCTGGAGTTTATAAGAATGGATTACGGATATATAAAAGTTAATCGTTTTTAATTTTAATATTGACTGTGATATGATTTAGATAGAGATTATTGTTGAGATTTCTAGAGAGTTAAGTTGTTTAAATTAGTGAAGTAATTATTAGTGTCGAAATGTGTAATAACGTGGAATAAATTATTGTTGTGGTAATTGGACTTTGATTTTGGAATAAACGAACCCAAGATTTCTGTCACGCACACCAGAGTCATGACAATATTTTGAATTACTTGTATGAAGAATGAACAACAAGATGATTTATCTTCGCATGTTTTGAGCTTCCAACTTTACAAGAATTTGAAGCCAGAAACAATGTATAAACTTACCTAATTGTAGCCCATTGTTGGGTACGCCGCCCTGTGGCTGATCGGCCGCCATGGCGCGCGCCGCGGCAAGCGGCGCAGGTAGCAAAGGGGGCGGCGGAGGATGTGCCTGGGTAGCAGGGGGGCCGCCGCCCTTGTTGGTCCTGCCTGTGCCGCCGGTCGCCGTACGTCGGCCGCTCGACGCCGCGCCCCCGCCGCTGCTCGAGCTGGCGCACGAACCCGTTGTTGAAGGCCCTTGCCCTGGAACGAATCAAATTTGATTTTTAGTAAGGGGGCAAATTTTGTTTTTTTCTGGTTGCGATTTATTAGAAAATAAAGTCGCACTTTTATAGTTTGGGCAATCGAGCAATTCGGATTATTCTATTCAGGAATTCAACCTCATCTACCTATTAGAGAAACAAATTTCTCTATCCTAAAACCAAACGTCTTTATTTTGGGACATGTAATTCATGTAAAAGTTCAAGGATTTCTAAGTGAGAGTTAGGGCCGAACTTATAGTCGTTCCTTGGAGGTCTTGAGTTTAGTCATGTCAATTCTAAACGTTCAAGGCGTCCTTAAGTTCTAAGGAAACCTCAAGGAGCGACTATCCTCAAACGAGAAAGTGTCTTATAAGAAATTCAAAATGCCAACATAGATAATGTTTCTTCTAAGAAATACTTAAACTTTCAAATGCCATGTCAAGTGAAACAGGTCTCAGTGATCCTTAGATTATCACTGAATCATTTGCAAACCTAACACTCTACAACCTAATAAATTTTAACCAGCTTTTGCAGCCTAGAATTATCGTGGGCGGGGCACTCTGTCCTGGGTGTTTATTTTATTTTCCTATCAGAGCACTACTGTACTGTTTGTTCATGTTTTATCTTATTTCTTAATGTTTCTGTCAAGATCTGACCCCCTAGTTATTTAGTTATTATTGATTTTAATATTTTACAACAGTTTGTTCTTGTATTGTTTCTTCTCTGTGTGACTTATCACTTGTTTATAGTTTTTTTAAACCTATTTATTAACTGTTAAAATTTAAAAATATGTATGTGTATCAGAGCTGGGCAGGGCTTGAGTGCTTTGTGCTTGCGAAAGTGCTTGAAGCACTTTGGGGGCTTGAAAGCCCTGTGCTTCAAGCCCTTTTATAGATTTGTAATTGGGGCTTGCAAAGTCAATTACTTTAGAAAAGTGCTTGGTAATTTGTAATTGAAAAAAGTAATTCAAGCCCTTTCAATGAGCTTCAATTACTTTTAGAGGGCTTGAAGCACTTTTGGGAGCTTGAAGCCCTGTGAAAGGGCTTGAAGCACTTTAAGAGGGCTTGAAGCACTTTTGGGAGCTTGAAGCACTTTGAAAGGGCTTGAAGCACTTTAAAAGGGCTTGAAGCACTTTAAAAGGGCTTGAAGCACTTTGAAAGGAATTTGAATTGACCATCATTCAACCTATCCCCCACTTAAAAATTTTCGATCCTGTTTTGTCCCTTAATTTTTTTTTCTATTATTTGAACTTGAACCGTCTTATGTCTTTTCTCTCTTAACAATGGAGGTTTTGGGTTTGAGCTTAGAATGGAATTTAAAAAAAAATGAATGAACTTATTATTCAAATAAATAATTAATTTATATTGGTACCCTATTTAACTTTATCACTGGATTTTTTCCACTTTTCCCCATTGAACATTTTGAAAACCTTAAAATTGAATAACCATGTAGTACCCCAAGTACCGGCCCCGTATTCTTGACTGCCCGGGAAGGGAGTGTTCCCGGGAGCATTCCCAGAAGACCGCCTCTGCGAGTGTCAATCGATTTAACCAAAACGTGTTTTCAAGCGAAAAAAAATGAAGAGGAAGTAATCTAACCCCACGTTTGATGTTTATTATTGTCTATTTTCCCAAACTTTGAAAGCTGAAAGGCATTTGGGTTTGATAATTTATTTCTTATTTTTAACAACCCTATGAACATCATCACAGTAAGTTTTCGATAATTGCATTCCTCTTATGTGATTTTTTATGCATGAGGGAAATATTCCGCATAATTTTCCGCAGCAAAAATGCCATATTCCTGTTCTTGAACGTCGTGTGGTTCATCAACTTCTGGAGTGTTCAATGCATACCTTTCTAGTTTTGGTTAAAGCCCAGACTCGCGTTGGAGCGTTAACATACGGAGTAACCATATCCACTATTTCGTGGCATACATTTTTGCTTACTCTAAAAAATTTCACGAATTGCTGGTCAGGGGAAAAGGAATTCTTTGAGGCAAAACATCCCATCCTATTTCTTTTGCTTCTGCAGCATTTCCTATGTCTTCTTGGATTATGATTATGTTATTGTATTTAAGATAATTTCATCAAATAATCCACATTAATTTTAATGAGAAAAGACACAACACATAGAAAAACGAAAAAATTTTGAACTTGAAAGGAGAAAACGAAAAAGGTTAGAAACCCTGGCGGGAACTCGTTTTCTCTTGCTACATCTCAAAAAAAAACATACTACTGTTACTCTGTGAAATGTAAAGTTCGTCTCTACTATACCAATTCTGTGTGATGAGTGTACGAGGTAGCTTATGCCACTTTGAGAATTTTATTACAAATTCAAAGTGCTTTAGGCACATTTAAAGAGCTTCAAGCACATTTAAAGAGCTTGAAGCCCTTTTCAAGGAACCCCAAGTGCTTTTGATGTGCTTCAAGCACTTTTCAAATCACTTTGAGGGCTTTGTGCTTGTCAAGCCCAAAGCACTTTGAGGGCTTTGTGCTTGTGAAGCACTTTTGAAAATAAAAAGGAATTTGTGCTTGAAATTGAAGCACTTTGATAGAGGGCTTAGGACTTAGTGCTTCAAGCCCTTTTACTGAGGGCTTTGCCCAGCTCTGATGTGTATTTACTGTGACAAGCTGACAAGCATTATACTTAGATAGTTTAGATTTTAGATTTAAGGATTAGCTTTGTCCATAATGATTATTGTATCTTTTGACAATAAAGCATGCTACTACTACTACTACAAACACCATTAAGGTAATTACATGTAAAGGAATAAACATTCACAAATACAACCATACACCTTGCCGGGACTCGAACCCAGCACCATCAGCATGCGAAACAAATCACTATATACTACGCTGCCTGGTCGGTTGGTTAGTAGTGTTCATTCTGAGAAGCAATCAAATATTGTAATAACGGTATATAAACTTATAGCAGTAAAACAATAATAGCAAGCGTATCAATACAAGGAGATAAACCAGTTTGTTTCGTTTTAAAAAGTTCCTCAGAAACTGGAATTAGATATGATCAGATGCAAGAATTTTTAGCAATTTTGTATTCATGTAAAATGTTGTATCAATACATTACAGGCAGGGCAAGAAAGCCATAGTTCGCTACACAGATCACAAACTCACAGAGAAGCAGGTATAACAGTCAACCCGAGAAAGTGCGAGTTCTTCAAGGACCAAGTGGAGTACGCAGGACATGTGATCACGAAAAATGGACTCAAACCAAGCCAAAAGACAGTACAAGCCATAGTAGCAGCTCCAAAACCAACAAATGTAACTGAAATAAGATCATTTTCGGGTATGGTAATTTTTTTTTAAATTAATTCATACCAAATGAAGCTGTTATTTTGAGACCCATCGATGATTTGCTTAAAGGAGAAACAAAATTTAATTGGTCATGAGAATGTGAAGGCTCATTCAAGGAAATTTAAAAAAATATGGGTTCAGATTTTGTCAGCCTCTAGTAAGTTTAATGAGAAAAGAAAATAATAAAATTCCTTCAAGTAGATTACAGAGAATAAGATTAAAATTAATGAGATATATTATTGAAGATATTTACAAACCAGAGAAGCTTATGTTTATTGCAGATGCTATATCTTAAAAGCAAGTTCTGAAGCTTCAAATGACATTGTACGTAGATACTGTAAATATGAGTTCTGATTATAAAGCACAACTTCAGAATGAATCAAAAAATGATCCAATGTTAAGTAAAATTATTGAATATTATTATGTGGGTTGGCCAAAATCAAAAAACCTATTTATTTTTATAAATAAAATATTTGTTGAGGATAATTTAGTTTATTTTGATGAGAAAATAATATGTAGTTCCTTCAACTTTGAAAATGAATATTTTAGAAAATTTGCATGAATCTCATTTAGGTATATAACTAAAACACAAGCTAAGGCTAGATCCTTATTTTATTGGGTAAATATGAATTCAGATTTATAAAATTATGTAAATACATGTAGATTGTTTGAAAAGTATAGAGCAAGAGATATAAAAGAATCAATGTTGATGATGAACAATCCACCGCAGATATTAGCAGATAAACCTGAGAATGAAAATTGTACAAATATAGCAATTGGAATTATTTTAAACTACAAACAAAAAAGCTAAAATTCAACTGGATTGTAATCATCTGTTAAGTTTTACAGAACAAAGTCAGGTAGAGGTTGTATGATACATAAACGTAAATATATACATTTAAATATTATTAGGTACCTGACGTGGTCACCAAGTTTAAGATGACAAATGACAATTATTAGTTGTGGTGAAACTTATAATTCCTAGACAAGTGAAAGGTAAGTTCTATAGTGTCCTTTTTCAAAAGTGGGAATGCATGGGACATGTCTACGGAATACATCTTTGATGAATCATGATGGGGCAGTATATTTTCAAATCGATTATTGCATGTTCAATTATTCGTCACTAAATGAATAACATCGATTTATTTCGGGTTGCATTTACTTAATTCTTAGTGTTGAAAGGGTATTTGTTTAATGCCTTCGAGGAGCAATTATTGATGTAATTCAAAAAACTGGCAAGTATATCACGTAGCTTTGATTTTTAAGCTTACTAGAAATTGTTGACTTGGATAGTGAGTCATATTGATGACAAGTCTAAGGTACAAAACTAGAAAATTAAAATAACATCAGGGCCTCTTCTTTGTAATTTCTACATATTGTATCAAACGTTTTGAGTTACAATGTTGTGATAACGTATTTTTTAAATCAGCTACAAAATATTTAGACATTTTATAATATCTACTTTGAAGAAAAACAGGCTAACCCAAATGCAATAATAAATTATGAATTATAAATAATGTGTAGATTTATTTTTACCCCATCTAAAATCTGCTGGAAGCACCATGAATACGTCTGAGCACTCTTATAATATGACTAATAACATAGTTCACCTCAACACTACAATGACACCCCCTTTATTTCAATTCAGTGATCTAAATGGCAGGTCATCTTTGACCTGAGACAGAAACATT